TTGATAGAGTTAAAACCTGTGTTATCAACCACATGTAACTTGATGTCGTGGGTGATGTGGCCACGCTACCGGAGATGAACCCCGTCTCAGATGGAATGGAGCAGCACACGCCGCTCGAGTTCCCGTATCAGGAAGGTCAAGTATGATATAATTTCTTAAGGCGCGAAACTCAAATGCTTTCAAATATTTAGGAGCCAAGTCATTAGTCATAGAGTAAAAACTTTCACCTTATGCATTCAAAGGTAAAAGAAAGCGGTCCTCATCCAAAGAAAGATTAAAGGCAAAATTGATTTTGAAGAATAGCCTAGCGTCATTCCTACGACGTTAGATGCTGCCACCATTACGATAAAGGGAAGGTTCAGCGTCACAGACCCATATTCTAGGACAGCTAGCACGAGTAAAAGAAAGTTGGTATAGTGAAAAGCATTCGAGTGCATTGTATCAGGCAAAACCCAGGAATCCAAATCAAATCCACCTAAAGACGCGGAAACCAATATATGAGTCTGGACATTTAAAAATTCTATAGATACTCCTCCTCCTATTTGCTTCAAAAAATATAATCTGATTTTTTCCCTTTTTTTTTTTAAAGAATGTAAAAATTATATTCAATCAAATCTTTTGTACAATGAATGTGTCCGGTATTTGAAAGTTCAAATTTTCCTTAGAAAACAAAGTTGATCGGTTTTGCTTGACTAACGTGATGCCAGCCATAGCTCCATGGCTTCAACGTAGTCATGAGCCCCCATACTTCGAATTGAGTTTATACGGTTCGTAATATTCTTGGTTATTTGCTTGGTGAGGATTGTTGGCGGTACCGCAACTTCTCCGTGACGTCTCCTGTTCCTTTCTCGCCAAATGTGATAAAGAGTGGATTGGAGAGCATACCTAACAAGAAACAGCTGATCTTTAGGCCTGGTGGAGGTGAGCAAACTGATTTTTTCCCTTAAAGTTACGTACATTGAGTCAATTTTTCTCTCGATGCTAAGGTATGAGTCCTGGATCATTGCCTTATTCTGACTATTTAGAATTTATTTCTTCGATTCTTATTGGATATCTCTTCTTTTGGTCGTTCACTGACTATTTCTCTCACCAAATACTTTGTTTTCCCACTGTTTTACCTCAAAATTTCTTCACTCAAACATCTGGATACACTGCAGACAAACCTTTATTGGCCCAATGTCACTCTTTTCCTC